TGGAGAATTGCTTGGTGTGGAAAAGTCACATTTGGTGTCATAGTGAAATGTATGAAGACAGAAAGAGGTTTTTGTTTTTGTTTTGTTTGTTTGTTTTTTAACAGCATATGAGGTAATAGGTGCAGTTGGCTGGTAGATATGGAGATAGGAGGATACTGAAGTTCTCTTGTGATTGCTGCTACCTTCTCATTCAAGTAGGAAGCAAGGTCATCAGATAAGGAATAACAGAAGAGAGGAAGGTTGCTTTTTAAAAATATATTTTTACTGTTTGTGTAATTTTTTAGAGAGAGAGAGGAAGCGAGAGGGAGAAATAGAAATATCAATGATGAGAAAGAATCATTGATGGCTGCCTCCTGCACACCACCTACTGGGGATCAAGCCTGCAACCAGAGCATGTGCTCTGACCAGGAGTCAAGCCAACAACTTCTTAGTGCATGGATCGATGCTCAATCACTTAGCCACACTGGCTGGGGTAAGGTGTTTTTGTTTTGTTTTGTTATAATCCTTACATGAGGATATGGTGGGGGTTTTTATATTGATTTTTTTTTTTTTTTTTTTAGAGAGAGAGAAACATCTCTCAGTTGCCTCCCATATGCGCATGACTGGGTATCAAACCTGCAACTTAAGTATGTGCCCTGACTGGGAATGGAACCCACAACCTTTTTTGTGTACGGAACAATGTTTCAACTAACTAAGCCACACAGCCAGGGCAGGAGAAGGTTTTTAAAAGAAAAAGTGTAAAATAATCTTTCAAGAAAATAGGTCCAACCGCTTTGGAAAACAGTGTGTCAGTTTCTTAAAAAGGTGAACATACTTTTACCCCGGGACTCTGCCATTTGATTCCTACAACTCTTTTCAAGAAAAATGAAAGCTTATTTCCATAAGTATATTTGTACTAGAGGCCTTGTGTATGAAATTCGTGCACAGGGACAGTGAAGGGATCCCTCAGCCCTACCTGCATCCTTTTCAATTCAGGAGCCCTCAGGGAATGTCCTACTGATGGCTTAGGCCTGCTCCACATGGTTCTCTGCTGTCTGTGGGGTCTACTTGGCCACTCCTGGATTGCCGTGGGTGACAGCCAAGCAGGCCCTGCTCTCAGTGGCCTCGTGCCCCCCCCTCCCCAGCAGGGCTCCAGTAGGGTTGAGAGTACTGGGTGCCGCCATCTTGTGGCTATGGGTGCTGCCATATTTGTGTCAGAGTGATGGTTAATTTGCATATTACTCTTTTATTAGATAGGATACATGAATGTTCATAGCAGCATTATTCACAATAATCCCCAAACTGGAAACAACTCGAATGCCCAGCAACAGGTGAACAGATATGCAAAATGTAATAGTTCCATACAATGGAATCCTCAGCAATAAAAAGAAATGAACTACTGATACACTTAACAACATGGAACATAAAAACGACAAAAACTGGACACAGGATGCTACATATTGTATGATTCCATTTGTATGAAATTGGATGATGGAAGTATCCTGGATGGAATTGTGGTGATGGTTGCACGACTGTATAAATTCATTAAAATTCACTGAACTGTACTTTTGAAACAGGTGTGTTTTATGACATGTAAATTGTATCTTAATAAAGTGCTTAAAAATTAACATGGTTACCAATACAACTAATAGGGGGAAAATAACATGGAAAAATGAATGGATTAGGGACATGTGCTGGAAAGGCCAGGCAGCATTAGGGCCCATTTGGGTTTGTGATCATGAATACAAGGTGAGGCCAGTCAGTGTGGGCATGTTTTTCTCCATCCACATTCAGCTGCCAGGGTGCAGGTGCTGAGGAGAGTTTACTTCTTAGGGTGAAAAAGACCAAGATAGAAAAGAATATGTTGTGTGAGTAAAGGAGTGGTGGTGATGATGGGTGGGAGCCAGGCTGGGTGGTGGGATGATGATGGGTGGGAGCCAGGCTGGGTAGTGTGGTCATGAGGGGGTGAGGGCTGGGGCAAAGGTGGTTAGCCTAATGTATTGTTGACACAATAACTTTAGAGGGCATTAGCTGGAGAGTCAGGAGTGAAGGGTAGACTCCTCACCTCCTTTAGCTCTTTGCTTGTTGGACATCCCACGAGATACATGTAATTAAAATTCCGTAGGGGATGCAGTTTGGGCGCCATCATTGTCTGGGAATGGGTCTTTTCCCCAACCTGGCTGGGACCTCTGGGCTGCCACAGTGACCACTGTGTCCCCCACTCAAAGGCCAGGTGTGACTGTGAGAAGGAAGGGTTGGGTGCATGACAAGATGTCTAGAGGAGAGGAAGTCAAGGCACCAAGAGGCCAGAATAGTCAAGGATATTTAGAAATCACCAAGAATTATAATAGGAGCAGCTTGAGTGGCAGTGAGCCTGGAGTTTAAATAATGATTTGACTTGGGAGGTGATAGAGCAGGCAAAAAGAATGGGAAAAGGTGCCATAGTATATATATAAGCTTCTAAGTTAGGGATTTAGAGAAGAGAGAGCTTGGATGGTTTAGAATTGGCAATGAGGAGCAAGGAGGATCTTATCCTATCTAAGGCCTGTTGGATATGAGAGTTGAGGAGGAGAAAAACAGCCCCTGCTTAGAAGGGCTGCATGAAAGACATGTTTCCAAGAGAGAGCTAGGATGTGTTGAGAGAAGGAAGGCAAAGGATGGTTCAGAGGAATTAAGAATATGGAGAGAAATTTGGAAAAGCCCTCTGTGCCTCCCCCATCCCAGCCTTAACCATTCTGCCTGTATCTTCCCCATTCCAGTCCTGACCACTCTGGGCTGATACTGTCTGAGGCCCAGTCTGTCTCCCCAACTGGACTGGCAGCTCCAGGAGGGCAGGGCCTAAGACTGTTTCAGTCAACACTGTGTCCCCAGCACAAAACCAGAAGGCACCCACCAATTATTCACCAAGAGTGCTAATTTCAGGTCTGAGGAGCATGTTGGCGGGTGAAATACCTCCAAGTCAGGAGATAGTGCCAGGATTCTGGAATCCTGGCAATCTTAAATCTGCACTGTACTCAGGTATTTTTGTCCTTTACTGGGGAAAAAAGTTTTAATTGGAAGGCAAACAGTAAAATTCATAAGTATAGACCATTATCCTGGATCAGAGCCATTTGAATTATAACACCATTTCTAGAAAGCTAGAATAAACTCAGCAGATTTTCCATCTTAATAAATTTTCAGGAATGATTCTGTGCTCTGGAACACCTTCCCAGAGAACTCAAAACACCACTGAACACCCACGCACTCTGTGCCAGGCCCTGTTCTAGGTACAAGTGAAACAGTAAGGAAAGACCAGTTGATTCTCCTGGAGGTTATTTGTCACTTCTCATAGTAGCACTGTTTGGATTTGTGGAATGAATTAAGCATGAATATTAATATTCTAATACTACAAAGCACAAAATTCTCAATATTTACCCCTACTCCCACACTCCTACATGCAGCCAGAGTGACCCCCATGTCAGATCATGTTTATGCTGTGCTAAGGACCCTCCCATGGGTCCATCTCACCTAGAGTAAAAGCCAAAGTTCTCATCATGATCCATCCAGGAGGCTGCACACAATGTCTGTTACCTCTCTACCTTCATCTCCTCCACTCTTCCCTGCTCACTCTTCCCCAGCCACACTGCTGTTTCTCCAATCCTCTTTCCCTTCCCTGCCTTGGGCCTATGCACCGGCAATCCTCTTTGCCTGGAACTCTCTTCCCCCAGGCAAGAGCTTGCCTCACTCCTCACCTCCTTTAGCTCTTTGCTTGTTGGACATCCCACGAGAAATGTCACTCCTCCTTCACCGGTCCCTATCCTCCTCCCTGCTGTTATTTTCTCCAAAGCACCCGTATTGCTTATAACAATCAACGTGTTTGGTGTCTCTTTCCCCATTAGAAAATGAGTTCCAGGCCTGGCTGGTGTGGTTCAGTTGGCTGAGCTGTCCTCCCCTAAACCAAAAGGTCGTAGTTCATTCTGGTGGGAGCACGTGTGTGGGTTTTGGGCTGATTCCCCAGTAGGGGGCATGCAGGAGGCAGCCTTAGATGTTTCACACATGGATGTTTTTCTTTTTCTCTCTCTCTCTTTCTCCCCCGTCTCTAAAATCAATTATCTATACTAATCTATACTAATAATAGAGAAATATGCAAATTGTCCCTTACAGCGTCATGTCACCACCGGATCAGCAGGCTGCATCCCTGCTCTCTGCTCAGGCAACTGCAAGGCCTGGGGTAGGATAGAATACGATAGGAGGGGATAAAAAAGGAGATGGAGAGGAAGGCAGGCCTGCATGCAGACAGGCCAAAAGGAGAAACAAAAATTTAGAAAGGGAACAAGAAAAAGACACAGAAATGGAAAAGGGAAGGAAACAAAGGGCTGCAGGCTGGGTGAGGAGGGGGAATCAGAGGAGAGAGAGTGCAGGTGTGCCCACGAAAGAAAATGAATTCCAGGAGAGTGAGGGTTTGCGTGTCCTTTTTACCGCTGTATTTTCTGCACCTAGAAAAGTGCCTGGTACAGACAGGCGCAGAGTTAATGCTTTTCCAATGTATTAATGGGAGTCTAGAGTCGGCCCACGTTCTTGAGGATGGAAATGGGTCAGGGAAAGGGTTTGGGTGCAGAGAGGACCCTTGAAGTGTTTCCCAAAGTGTGGTACGCGTACCCCCAGGGGTACGGCAAGAGTTTGGTGTGGGTACGCGTTGCGCCGAGTTTGGTGGGGATATGCACTGCACCGTGCTTAGCTGCGCCTAATTCTACATTCTCGTGAGTAGAGGGGTACTCAGCATTACAAAAATTATAGAAGGGGTACACAAATGTCAAAAGTTTGGGAAACACTGCCTTAGGGAGTTAACTAGGACTAGAGAAGTGGGGCAGAGGAGACAACCCGGGCAAAGGGTGAGGGATGAGTCTATTACTGGAGTGCTCAGTTGAAGGCAGAAGTTCAAACGGAGATAGCGCCGAAGGAGGTCGGAAGCCCTGAGCTCAGGCATCCCCGCCCACAGAGCTCAGGGTCTGGGCGGGGCTGGGCCTCAAGGGGCGGGGTTACGTGATTGCGTCACACGCCGTACGTCGCCGCGCGCGTGCGCTCCTTTCCACGTGCGAAAGCCTCTAACTCGTGGGGTTCTGGACGCCGTGGAAGCCTGACGCGCGCCGCTCTGCTCTCGCCATGAAGCCAGGTGCGGGCGGGGCTGGGGTCGGAGGTCAGGGACTGGAGCCCTGCGGGAATGGGGTGCGGGGCCTTGGCCTGGAGGCGGGGGTTCTGAGGCCCGGGTCCGCGGCGGGGACGGAGCCCTGGTTCCGTGTGGTGTGGGAGAGGGTCTGGGTTCGGCGCTGTGCCTAGGGTGCAGGGTGGGAGTTTGTGAGTGGCTTCGGAGGTCACGGTGGTGTGCCGAGTCTTTGGCCTGGGCGTCCTGAACTGACACTCGTCTTATTGAGGGCTTGACTAGTTCCTGGATATTGGAGCCGGGCAGCAGTCGGTGTTAGTAACCTGGAGTTCCGGTCCAGGCGTCCGGGGTCGGTTTTGGGAATCTCTCGGTTCGGAGGTGTAGTCTCCGAAAGCTGAGTCTAGGAGATCCCCGGTTGCCGCCGCTACCCCTGTCCCCTTGGCTCCCAACCCACTGTCTTCTCGGAGGGGACGAGGAGGACTCCGGCTTGATTGCATGTCTCCCTCTGGCCCACTTTCCCGCTCCACTTTTTCCCAAGGGGGCGGGTCCCTGAGCATGCCGTGGAGATCATGGTCCTAGTGATTCCCAAATACCCGGAGAGGGAACTTCTCAAGGCCAGGGTAGGATTAGTGGGTCGGGGAGGGAGGTAGTCACAGGGCGGGAGTGCTTTTATTTATCCGATTTTTCTCCAGATTATGATGATCTCACCCCACCACCCTCATGGTGGAATGCTGAGAACCCTGTCCTTGACAGCAGAAAGGCCCCAGTTCAAAGTTTCCATCCTGGCTCTGCTTCTAACTTATTGTGTGACCTTGGGCAAGTGGTTTGACCTCTTTGTGCCTCAGTTTTCTCATCAATAAAATGGCGCCCAGTTACAATTTAGTAAGATCTTGTTAAGAAAAAATAGCACTGGGTGGTAATCATTTTGCAGTATGTAAGTGTATCAGATCAAAAGTTGTACACTTTAAACTTACACAATGTTGTGTGTCAATTACATTTCCGTAAAGCTGATAAAAACAGCACAGTGCTATATAATAGTGTTGGCTCCAAATGTTATGTTTATATTTTTTCTCAAGGGGAACAACATTAGGATCCTTATTCTTGGTATCTCAGCTCTTCCTCAATCAGCCTGCACCCATCCCTCCAACTTGCTCCACTGGAGTTGGGGAAGTCTCCCCACTTGTGACCAAAAACGTCTGTTTTCTGCTAACACACTCCGCCCCCCTCTCCGCCCCCACCCAGCCTATGGACCTGGTGAGGGGGATTTGTGGATCTATGTCCCCTTCAAAGTTGTCTTTCTCTTCGGGCTTTGGGGATCTGCTGATGGAGTGGGATGGGATATGCTAGGATGTGTATCTTCCACTGAGACCCTGGCATTGCCGCAGGCATCGTGTGATCTGATTCTCCCAGGAATGGAAGCTACACATTCCTCCCAATCCTTCCCCTCATTATGTTTGGATATGAAGTTGTAGAAGTTGTCAGGAGTCAACTCTTCAGTGGGGATTTTAGTCTGAATAAGAGAGGAAGCTTTTGGGAGATTCTGAGCAAGGACCGATGTCAGCCAGACTTGACTGACACTTGTTTTCTTAAAGGACCCTCTGTAAAAAGACTTTAGGGGAGCAAGAGTGGAAACAGACATGTCAGTAGGAAGTTGGGTGCTGTAATCTACAATACAAGGAGATGATGTGACTTGGACCAGGGCAGTCAGTAGCAATCAACCTGGGACAGATTGTTACCAATGGGAATAGATTTTAAAGACAAAATCAACAGCTTGTATGTGGGTGTGAGAGAGGAGTTAAGGATAACCAAAGGTTTTGGCCTGTGTGACTGGAAGGGGGGTGGGGTGGGGTAGAGTTGTCATTTTTGAGATGGGTCAGGCTGTGGAAGAACAGTTTTAAACCAGGGAGGGGGGTTGTCTGTGGATCCCCTAAAACTTCTAGAAGTGTGTGCAAACTAGTGTTTTGATGAGGAGAGGGTAATTTCAGGACATTTTTTAATAAGAGCCCCAGGATTTGAAATGGAGCAAAGTAGGTTTTGAGTGTCTAAGACTAAAAGTTTGCTCTCATGCCCCTACTTTCTAGGCCTCTGTTCTTTCAGGCCTGAGTAGAGTCTCTTAAACCTAATGGTTTCTCCAAGTAGGAGGGAGGACACATTGCCTTGAATTGGGATAATATTTACACTGTGTGCTAGGAAGTAAACTAAGTGTTTTATGTGTGTTGTCATTTAATCTTTTCAAGTCTATGAAGAGGGCACTGCATTATCTCCATATCTGTTTAGAGATGTTTTCAAGGCTTCCAAGAACCTTCTCTACTCTCTAGGATTGCAAATGGTGTGGCCATCTTCCTGTGTGGGACACATAAACTTGAGGAGAGGAACCAGGGCTCTGATCACCATCTGATCCCCAGCTTCTTGAATGAACAGAATGGCTGCTTTCTCCAGGAAGCAGAACCCAGAGGCCTAAGAGTCATCAGCAGACGGTGTACCTAATACTTCTTGAGCCTATACTTTGTGCCAGATGTTATGCAGGGTGCTGGGGATGCAATGGTGACCAAAACAATTAAATATCTCTGTTCTTTTGGACTTGGTTCTAATGGGGGAGGCAGGCTTTAATAATGTTAAAAATGCCATAGATGAGACCCTGGCTGGGTAGCTCAGCTGGTTAGAGCATCATCTTGATAAACCAAGGTTTCGGCTTCAATCCCCGGTCAGGGTACATACAAGAATCAACCAATGAATATATAAATAATATATCCATCTCCCTTCCTCCATCTCTCCCTTATTCCCTCCCTTCCCCTCTCTCTCTGAAATCAGTCAAAAAAAAAATAAAAAAATGCCATGGATGGTAATTGTTGGGGGGGGGGGGGAAAGAAAGTGGGGTCAAGGGCCAACATGGCTCAGTGGTTGAGCATCGACCTGTGGTCATGTTTGATTCCTAGTCAGGCCATATATACCAGTTGCAGGCTCAATCCCCAGTGTGGGGCATGCAAAAGGCAGCCGATCAGTGATTCTCATCATTGATGTTTCTATTTCTCTCTCTCCTCCCATCCTCTCTGAAATGAACAAAAATATATTAAAAAGAAAAAGAAGCCACAGAAGGAAAATTTATTTATTTATTTATATTTATTTATTTTTTAAAATATATATTTTATTGACTTTTGTACAGAGAGGAAGGGAGAGAGATAAGAGCTAGAAACATCGATGAGAGAGAGTCATCGATCAGCTGCCTCTTGCACACCCCCTACTGGGGATATGCCCGCAACCAAGGTACATGCCCTTGTCCGGAATTGAACCCGGGTCCCTTCAGTCCCCAAGCCGACGCTCTATCCATTGAGCCAAACCGGTTTCGGCCAGAAGGAAAATTTAATCAGGAACCTGAGTACAGTGAAGGAGTGGGTGAACCAAGCAGATGTCCACAGGATGCAGGCAGTGGAAACAGCAGATGTTAAAGGTTGAAAAGCTGGAAAGGGAGTTTGTTCTTGGGGAGGAAGAACACAGGCCCAGCATAACGAGAGTGAGGTCAGAAAACTCAGCAGAAGGCAGGGCCCTGTGATCTTGGGTCTCAATTTGGGCTGCATATTAAGATAATGTGGACAACTTAAAAAAGTTCCCATACCCAGGCCCTAGCTGGTTTGGCTGAGTGGATAGAGCATCGGCCTGTGGACTAAAGGGTCCTGGGTTTGATTCTGGTTAAAGGCACAGGCCTGGGTTGTGGGCTTGATCCCAGTAGGCAGCCAATTGATGATTCTCATCATTTGATGTTTCTGTCTCTCTTTCCCTTCCTTTCTTAAATCAATACCCACCCAAGACAATTAGAATGTCTAGGTTTCAGGGATTAGCCAAAAGTGAGACCCACTGCTTTAAGGACATTTGGAGCCAGAGAAAGGAATTTTTTATAAACAGAAGTCAAGTTTGTTTGTTCATTTCTTGCATTTGAAGTACTCCTCAATGACATCCTTTGCCTGAGACTCTTTGCCATAGTCCTTAACCACCACACAACTGCAACCTACCACTTTAAGGGGGTTTTCCCTCTGTCAGTTTTACAGAGTCCTTCCCATTCCCTTAGTTTCTTGTCATCAACCTTAAGTTGAATTGTTGTTCAGCACAAAGAGCCTCCACCAACTTGACTTACATAGGCTCATCACAGTTGGATGCAAGTACACAAAGGTGGGCTTGGCACTTGTCTAAGGCTCTGGCAGCATCGCCAGTTACATGCGCTAGGCACTCTTGGATGACGGTCTTCAGCACCTCTTGGAAAGCAGTATTATCTACACCTCCAGCAGCAATGCCTTCCTCGGCCATAGTGGTGGGTTACGGGTAGAGCCAAATCTTTTTTTTTTTTTTTTTTTTTAATATATTTTATTGATTTTGTACAGAGAGGAAGGGAGAGAGATAGAGAGTTAGAAACATCGATGAGAGAGAGTCATCGATCAGCTGCCTCTTGCACACCCCCTACTGGGGATATGCCCGCAACCAAGGTACATGCCCTTGACCGGAATCAAACCCGGGTCCCCTCAGTCCCCAAGCCGACGCTCTATCCATTGAGCCAAACTGGTCCCGGCGGTAGAGCCAAATCTTGAACGCACCCAAGCTTCAGCCTCTGAGCAGCTCTGCGGTGGCAGGGAAAAAAAGATAAAGGAATTTTTTGGTTTTGTTTTTTTTAATTACGTTATTTATTTTTAATTTCTTTATTAATTTAGGTATCACATATTTGTCCTCATTACCCCCATTCCCATCCCAAACCACTCTCCAGGAATGCCCCCTTCCCCCTGTTGTCTGTGACTACTGATGAGGCTTATATGCATGCATGCAAGTCCTTTGGTTAATCACTCCCCCTTGGCCCTCCCCTCCCCTACCTTCCTCTGAGGTTTGGCAGTTTGATTGATGCTTCCCTGTCTCTGGGTCTGTTTTTGTTCATCAGTTTATGTTGTTCATTATTTCCCCTAGATGAGTGAGATCATGTGATATCAGAGAAAGGAATTTTGATTTCATTTGAATGTGATGGAAAATCACTGAAGAGATTTGGGAAGGATACTGATGAGATCTGATACCCTGTTTTAAAAAGGGCATCACTAGCTGCCACATGGACAGTAGTCTGAGAGGGAGGGTAAGAAAGAAGGTTATGTGTAGGAGTTTTGAAACCGTTTGTTTTTAACGATTAGGAATAGCTATTAAGAAGTTGAACATTTCATCTTCAGTGCCATTAAGATGCATGAAGCTTTCATAGAAAGTGAATGAATATACTGTACCTTTACAAAAACGTTAGCAAGTTTGCTATTGAATAGTTTGTATCAAGCCAGATTGTTTATTTTTAATTTTTTTTAATCCTCATTCAAGGATATTTTCCCCCTGATTTTTATTTATTTTTAATATATTTTTATTGATTTCAGAATGGAAAGGAGAGGGAGGGAGGGAGGGAGAGAGAGAGAGAGAGAGAGAGTGCCATTGATCAGTTGCTTTCTGCATACTCCCTACTGGGGATCAAGCTGTAACCCAGGCATGTGCCCTGACCGTGACCTCCTGGTTCATAGGTTATCACTCAACCACTGAGTCACACATGTGGGCTGATTTTTAGAGAGTGGAAGAGGAGGGAGGCGGGGAATCGAACCCAAAACCCTTCAGTGCATGGCTGACACACTAACCACTGAGATACCCCAGCCAGGGCTCAAGTTAGATTATTTTAAATCAAAATTAATCTTTACACTACTTTTTATAATTTGTGATTTTTCTGACTGTCACTAAAGAGCTTTTGAAATTGTCAAAAGTCACATATTGAATCTGTTAGCACCAGAAGTCTGTCTGCTTCAAACATTGTTTTGTGCTTAGTGAAGAACATTTGCACTATCCTGAATGATGAAAATTAAGTCTCTGAATCTTTTTTTCTCTTCAACTTTCAATCTTGTTGATAAGCCCTAAACTGCTTATGAACTGTTGCCCATCCATAAAGCACAATTTGGTTTTTGTGTGTGTTTTTTTTCTTCTATTTTTCCCTGAGCTGGCAGAGACTTCTGCAGTCCAGGAAATCAGTTAGCAGGAGAGGCATCACACCGAGCTCCCCTCTATTTGGGTGTTGGCACTTTTGTTCCAGATACAAGGGTAGGCATAGATGTTTCCAGGGTCTGGATGACCCAGGGAGCACGGGCAAACATGTGTACACTAAAGCGCATGCACACACACACAGTGTTCTGCAGACTAATTACTATACTATATAATAAAAGGCTAATATGCAAAATGACCCATCGCCATGATGCTTAATGCAGGAGCCTGCCCCCTGGTGGTCAGTGCGCAAGAAGCTGGGTGAGAGTAGTGGCAGTGGCAGGAGCCTGTCCCACCTCCATGGCATTCCCTGAGGGCTCCTGGACTGCCAGAGGGCACAGGCTATCACCCCCTATCACCCCCCCGCCCCGAGCACAAATCGGGCCTCTAATTGAATAGAGAATGAATTCTGTGAATTTGCCATTCAAACAGGAACAAAATATTGACAGTAAGCTACATTTACCTATGTACTTCTCCCCTATGCTAACCCCATAATTTTTTCCTCCCATTACCCAGTATCATGGGTTTTGCATTATCATCCCTTGACTCTTATGGAATGGTGGTGGACATGGATTACCACATATGTCATCATAGCATAGCATTGTTTCACTTCTGTTGCTGAACTTTATAGAAAGGATATTTTATTGAACTAGAGGCCCGTTACATGAAGATTCATGCAATAGGCCTTCCCCTCTGCTGCTGGCACCGGTTTTTGTCCTGCACCGGGGACCCGAGCCGCAGTGGAGCTTAGCTCCAGCTGCAGCGGAGCCTTCAGTCTTCAGTCTTCCCTCCATGGCTGCAAATGCAAATTAACCCACCATTTTGTTGGTTTAATTTGCATACTCACTCCTGGTTGGCTGATGTGCGTCACAGAGATATGGTCAATTTGCATCTTTCTCTTTTATTTATAGTGTAGATGTGGTTTCCTTAGACTTACTTTATCACTTATCATTTTTATTCTAACATTTATCTATATTGTAAATATTTCCCCTTTTTCCCCCTTTTTTGTCTGTGGTGCCTGTGGACATCTGAGTTCTGATTTTTCTACAGTTGTGGACATTCGTGTACATGCTCCTCCATTTTCTCTCCTTAGTAGAATTGTGAAGTGTAGGAGTAACTTTTCCAGCTTCCTTGCCCTGATCCCTGTTTCTGTTTCCATTACAGGTTTCAGCCCCCGTGGGGGTGGCTTTGGTGGCCGAGGGGGCTTTGGTGACCGTGGCGGTCGAGGTGGCGGCCGAGGTGGCTTTGGTGGGGGCCGAGGTGGCTTTGGTGGAGGCCGAGGTCGTGGTGGAGGCTTCAGAGGCCGTGGACGAGGAGGAGGAGGAGAAAGAGGAGGAAGAGGTGAGTGAGATTGGGAGATCTGATGGAGGAGGCTTCCCCTGAGCTTGGGGGGTGGTATAGGAATAAATGTGGGGTCTCCCTCTCTCATTGGGTCTCTTTCCCTTGTAGGTGGCGGGTTCCAGTTTGGTGGCAATCGGGGTCGTGGTAGGGGAGGAAAAAGAGGAAATCAGTCGGGGAAAAATGTGATGGTGGAACCTCACCGTCATGAGGGTGAGTGAAAAAGTCAAGGAACCTGCTGAGTGGGGTAGGGGTGGGGGTGGGGGTTGGACCCAGAATCCTCACCTCTGTTCCGATCCCTTCACTTAGGTGTCTTCATTTGTCGTGGAAAGGAAGATGCCCTAGTCACCAAGAATCTGGTCCCTGGAGAATCAGTTTATGGAGAAAAGAGAGTCTCAATTTCGGTGAGACATGGGTCCCTCTCAAAGTCACCAGGGCACCAGCTGCTGTTTTACTGGTCTCCCTGCCTCCACCATGTGTCCTACATGGGACAGCATGTCTAAATACATAAGACATGCACTTCCCTCCCCACATACTTTCTGTGACTACCATTGCCTTCAGGTTAATGTTCCAGGTGTAGCCTGGAAGGCCCTTCACATTCCCATTTCCCCTTGCCCCTCCCTGGCCTCACCTCTTCCGACTGTCTCCCTGACTGAGTATCTTCTAGCCCACTGACCTTGCTGTTCCCCTGCCTGGGAACTCTTCTCCCAGCTCTATGTATGACTGGTTCCCTCTTATACCAGCGTGTCGGGTCAGGTGTCACCTTGTCTTTCTCAAAGGCCACCTTTCACTACCCTGTCTGTCAAAAACAGCCCTCACCACCTATCTCTTGCCCTTTTTTTATTTTCTTAGTTAATGCTCACCCGAGGACATTTTTCCATTGATTGATTTTTAGGGAGCATGGAAGAGAGAGGTAAAGACAGAGAAACATTGATGTGAGAGAAACACATCGATTGGTTGCCTCCTTCATGAGCCCTGACCAGGGCCCAGGCTGGGGAGGGGCCTGCAACCGAGGTACGTGAATCAAACCCTTGACTGGAATAGAATCCAGGATCTTTTGGTCCACAGGCCAACACTCTTATCAACAGAGCCAAACTGGCTAGGGTGTCCTATTTTTCAAAGATTTTTAAAAATTGATATTCAGAGAGAGAGAGAAGAAGGGAGAGGGAGAAACATTGATGTGACAACAGAGCATTGATTGGCTGCTTCCATGCATACGGCTACTGGATGTTGAACTAAAAACCTGAGACTATGCCCTGACCAGGAATTGAATTGGCAACCTTTCTGTGTAGGATACTAAGCCCAACCAACCAAGTCACACAGGCCAGGGCCCCTTCCCTATTATCCTATGTCATTTTCTTTATGGCCAGGCACATTCCTGCCTCAGGGCTTTTCTGCCGTGCTTCCTGCCGCCTGGAATGAGCTTCCCTCCCAAGATAACTTGAATGGCCCCTCACCTTCTTCAGGTCTGCTTCTCGGCTCTTCCCCGGCCACCCTTTCTCATTTTCACCCATCTCTCACCCCGCTCCCCAAACTTTATATCTGCTTTTCTGGCTTGATCTATTTTCCTCAGTGCCTGTTTCTGGCTACTATGTCAGCTGTGTATGTTAGTCAGTTCATTACATACTTACTCTTTCAGGGCACGGGTCTTTGTCTCAGTAAGTATGTATCCCCAGTGCCTGATATAGGGTCTGCACACAGTATGTCCTGGCACGGCAAATGTTTATGGAAGGAATGCGCAGATCTGGTATGATCTTGTCTCTGTGTTTATTGTCTGTTTTTTGCCCCTTTCCATGAGTTAGTAGCTTCTATTATAAGGCAGACACTGCATCTGTTGAGGTCACTGATAATGTACCCACATTTGTTTCTTGTACAGTGATTGAGTTTTTTTGAGGGCCCTAGGGTTAAGGGCAGTGGGGGCTTGCAGAAGAGTCTGGCACTGACTTCTATCCCATCTCTCCTGGCCTTAGGAGGGAGATGACAAAGTCGAGTACCGTGCCTGGAACCCCTTCCGCTCCAAGCTGGCAGCAGCAATCCTGGGCGGTGTGGACCAAATCCACATCAAGCCAGGGGCCAAGGTGCTCTACCTTGGGGCTGCCTCCGGCACCACTGTCTCTCATGTCTCTGACATCGTAGGCCCGGTGAGTAGATGAAGTTATGGAGATGGATATGAGTAAGGGCTGGTGGTGAGGTAGGAGGGAGAGGAAGGCTGCTGCTTCTGCCAACCTGGAGTCAGAGGCCCTAGATCCTTCCCTGCATTGCATGGCATGGAGCTAGGCCTTTCCCTGCTAGAGTGCCTGTGAGTAAAGCAGCTTGAACTATCTGCTCTCCAAAGCCTCGTTCAACTTCATTTCTGAGTTCTTGGCTCAGAGGAGAGGGGCATGGACATTGGGTCACCATTGTTAGCCAGGCCCAGAACTGAGTATACACCAGACTACTGAGTATATACCAGACTACTTGATTTACTTGCCCTTTTAAAAAATTTATGTACCCAAAATCTGATCTAGTTTTTCTTGAAAGAACAAATCTCATTTTCTGGGCCTGCATTTCAGTGTGGCTGTACAAGTTTCCTGTTTAGAGGGTACCTATGCATGTCATTTCATGACTTCTGGCTCATCTACATTACAGAACCTATAAAACCCAGGCTCTGGTGCAGGCATGTAACAGTGACATGACTTTCACAAGTTATTTACTCTCTTTGGACTTCAGTTTATCCCTCTGCAAAATAGGGTTATTGTGAAGAATGCCTGTAAAGTGCTTAGAGCAATGCCTGGTCTATTGCAGATATTCTTAGCTGTAATGACTTCATCTCTGTGCACTTGCTTCCTGGTTTTAAGCCTGTATTGGGGGCTTGGGTTTTCAGATCAGGCAAAGCGGGAATGAATAAACCTCGGCCAGCGACTTCATGTCTCTGGACCTCAGTTTATTCATCTGTAAAATGAACAGGATAATAATAGTTGTTAAGTGGTAGAGTTTAGCTTTGGGGATTTGAAGATATGCTGCATGCATGTATGGGTCCAAAGTAGGTGCTCCATACATGAGAACTAGTATCATTGTTATTTATTTTAGGATGGTCTGGTCTATGCAGTTGAGTTCTCTCACCGCTCTGGCCGTGACCTCATTAACTTGGCCAAGAAGAGGACTAACATTATTCCTGTCATTGAAGATGCTCGGCACCCGCACAAATACCGCATGCTCATTGGTGAGGGATCAGGGATTGGTCCAGGTGGGGTAGGATAGGCCACTCCAGGTTTTCTGGAAGAGGCCAGGGCCCTAATTTGGATGGAATTGGAATGGATGACCAGGCCTCTTGAGTCTGCAGGAATGAAAAGGTTGGGGGAGCCAGGAGAGGTTGTGAAGATGGTAGACCTGCTTCAGGGTCTCTGGCGCCTTCAGATGCCAGCCTCCTCTCCTCTGATCTCGTGCCCCTCTCCCTAGGCCTCGGCTGCCCCATACTGCCTTCCTCCCTCTAAAATATGGTACTTTTACACTGCCCCTGGCTTATATAGACAAGCCTCCTTCAGCTCTTCCAGGTATTTCTCAGTGATTACAGCATCTGCCTACATACTGAAATTAACTCATGGGTTAATTCCCAATCAAGGGCACATACTTGGGTTGCAGTTTCAATCCTTAGGCAGGTGCAGGGAGGCAACCAATCAATCTTTCTCTTTTCTCAGCCCCCTCCCTCCCACACTATAAAAAAAAAAAAATCAATGGAAAAAAATCCTTGAGTAAGGAGTAAGAACAACAACAACAAAAAAGCCTCCCTCAGAGGTCCTCCTCCTCATCCTCTGGTGAGATCATAACCCAGAAAGCACAAACTGAGTGTGGCCTGGCCCAGAGGAGCCCATTGTAAATATCAATTACTTTGATTTTTTTTAAAATATTCAGAAGCAAGATGTAAAAATGGAATTCTTTATAAATCATCCTCTCAGGTAACATATGAACAATTTGATGTCTGTTTTTTCCAATTTTGAAAAGTTAGTTTCATTACATCTTCCCATATTTAAAAATTTTTTTTTAACCATACTGCCTTAAAAATAGTATTTTGCATTCTGCTGGTTCATGTGAGGTTTTTTTTCCCATGTACCTATACCATACCCCTTGTCCTGCAACTTGTTTTCATCTGACAATCCTGCAGACACTCTTACCTGTAAGTGCTCACCTTTATTTGCCTTTTGATGACGTGTCTTGTCTCCCCCGCACCCAGACCTGAGAGCGTCTCTAGGGTGGGGTCAGGGTTTGGCTCGTCTCTCTGTCCCCCACGCACGGGCCGGGGCTGGGCACAGAGTAGGTGGTAACCATGGGTTATAAGAGGTCTGAATGAATGATGTGACTGGTTTGGACACATCTTGGGGGCACCGTGGAGGGAAGGGGCACCACTGGGTGGAGGTGAGACTGGAAGCAGGGAAAACTGCCAGGAATCTGTAGCGTCCCTGGGAGGAGCTGGGAAGATCAGTGGACCCAGCTTTTAACTGCCACTTCTTTCTCCCTAGCAATGGTGGATGTGATCTTTGCCGATGTGGCCCAGCCAGACCAAACCCGGATTGTAGCCCTGAATGCCCACACCTTCCTACGTAATGGAGGACACTTTGTGATTTCCATTAAGGTGCTGGTCTTAGAGGACTCTAAGTATCTTCCCTATCATTAACTGCCAAGTAGCCAGTCAAAGCAAGGGAGCCTTCATCCCCCCCAATCCAGTCTGTTCTCAGCCTTTATCCCCACAGCTCCCTTCTAGCCATTCCCTGGCCTGAGTCAAAGATCACATGATGAATAATGTCCATAAAACTAGCAGCTTTGGGTTTAAAGAGGCAATGGAATGTAGTGGTCAAGTGCACCCTGACTGACAATTTTAGTTGGAATTCCAGCTCGCTGTGTGACTTTGAACAAGTTACTTAATCTGTGTGCTTGTAAAATGAAAATACTATATATGTAAAATAGAAATATTACTAGTCCAATTTTTTAGTGTCTATATAAGGATTAAATTAATCAATATACATGAAGTGTTTAGAACAGCCTGGAGTAGAATAAATAGATAAATATTAGTTGCATTTTAAAAAACATTTTAGTTTGAAATACAGAGAATTCTGCCATGTGCCTTTCAACCAGATTCACCATTTTGTTAGCCTTTTGCTACATTTAGTTTCATATTCTCAGCTGCATTATTATTGTTAAAGAGGAAGCAGAAGGGGGGAAAAAGCCCTGAGGGTAAAATTTAAACACTGGCTTTTAGATAATATGACTCCGTTGAAGGCTACCTGTTCCAAATCCAGACCAAATTGAAAATTTCCAAAACTTGAGTTTCACCATTTCCAGTAAAAACAAGTACTTCTAATTTAAAGAGCACAGAAAAGGGCAAATAGCTCAAAGCCTTGCTGCAGACTTCAAATCCTCTCTCCTCTGCAGGCTAACTGCATTGACTCCACAGCATCTGCCGAGGCAGTATTTGCCTCTGAAGTGAAAAAAATGCAACAGGAAAATATGAAACCCCAGGAGCAGTTGACTCTAGAGCCATATGAAAGAGACCACGCTGTGGTCGTGGGTGTATACAGGTGAGCAGGGGGCCCTGTATTCCAACAGGACAAATGTCTCTGGCCCCAGCACCCTAGAGCCACATGGTTCAATACTTGTTAGGAGTGCCCCTAAAGTAAGGTGACCAGATTTTAACATTGGTAAAGCGGCACACCATTGACCAGGGTGATTCTTGATCTCTTGGGGTTCTCCTGCCATTCCCTAGCTTGTCATACATTCTTTCCAAAAATCAGGACTTTTTAAAAACGCTGCGGGACGCGGGACAAATTGTTAAAAATCAGGACTGTCCCGCCAAAAGCGGGACATCTGGTCACCTTACCCTAAAGTGACAAGCTCTGATGCCCCTTATCTTTCTCATAGGCCGCCCCCCAAGGTGAAGAACTGAAGGCTGGCTCTTCATCTGGATTGCTAGAAATTGTGTTGCTACTGTTACACGTGTGTTTTTCTATTAAAAGACTCATCCTTCCTTCCGGTCTGGGTCTGCTGCTGATTGCTTGGCGACTTCCATTGCCAACAGGGCGGAATGCGCCTTTAGTTAAACTTGCGTGTTGGTGGTGGTTGGGAGGTGGACAGTCTCATCCAACCACACAGCGCATGCTCCTTTCTTAGCTGCCTCTTGCGCCACCCAAGCCTGGATTTTGGCGCTTGAGTGGAGCTCACTGCGCATGTGTGCTGGAAAGCTCTACTGAGCAGGCGCAGTGTATTGCCGTGAGTCACGTGAGGGGGAGCGGAAGGGGGGGTGGGGGCGGAGCTCAAAGCCTGTGGGGAGGGGGGGCGGGTTTGTTGTGGTTGCCATTTTGCTGGTTGCATTACTGGGTAATCAGGGCCCTGCTTCGCTGCGTCCACCGGATATCTTCAGCCAGTGGGCAGCCTGAGCTCGGGCTTCCCGGGCAGTTTGAGTCCCCTTGCCTGCGTTCTCAGGTAACGAAGTGGCTTCAGATGGGGCGCGGCTCGCGCTCCGCCCTCCCCCTGTCGCCGGGAGACTTAGGAGGCGCAGGGAGGAGAGGAGTGGGGCGGCGGGCAGGTGCAGGCCATGTCTAATTATTCATAGTTGGGTTCCTGGAAGGGCATAGCCTGAGAGAGTTGTCCTGGGAAGGGGTCCCGGGGTCCCGCTCCCGCCCTTTGTTTGGGCTCGGCTCTGCCCGCTGCATCATTGTCGCTTAGCGACAACCGCCCCGAGCTGTGATTGGTTGAGCTCTTGGGCCCAGCGACCAATGGCACGGTTGTTGCCATGGCAGGTGTGGACTGCCAAGTTCAGGCCTGCCCGCTGGCCCTGGCGGCCCTCCAAAATGGGAGGCCAGACGCCTGTGTCCCTGGGGGCCGGTGGCTGCGTGGGGCGGGGCTGGCTGGTCGAGGGTTAAGAGGGTTAACCCGCCCCTCCCCTCCCCCGTCCACCTGCCTTTCCCTTCCCTGTGTGCCCCGGGTTGACCCTCGTCCCTGTCCCCTCCTCTTCCCCCCTCCCCCCGCAGCGGCTGCTGTTGTCACCCACCGGGCCTCCTGTCCCGCTTGCCCTCCCCGCTGTAGGGCTTGCCGGGGCCCGCCGGCCCGGGACAGGCGGCTGTCTCCTCGCCACCGCCACCGCCGCCATGCTGGCCGCTCGCCCACCTCACTGGGGGCCCCACCGCGCCCCAGCCTCCCGTGGGCCCCGCACCAGCCCCGACCCGGGTAGGGGGTGGTGGCTGAGAGAGACGATCCTGGTGTGGGAGGGCCCCCAGGAAAGAGTTTGGTGTGTGTTTGTGTGGGGGGGGAGCTCCAAGAGAGGAGGGGTCGTGGGGTGGCAAGACTTGGCATAGGAGAAAGGGACTGATATGAGGGAAGGCCCGCGGGGAGGGGATTTTGGTGTGGCAGATAGGGAAGAATTCTGTGATATTTGGGGGATTTGGCTATGGGGCCTTCTAGGAATAGACACAGTTGTGGATTGACCGGTGGGCAGAAGGGTCCCTGGAGAAAGGGCCCTAGTAGGAATATTGGATTGGGAGGAGGTGGGTAGACTCCAGGCTAGGCAAGAGAAGGACGATCACTATAAATCGTGAGAAGAGACACATCCCCTTTGCTCCCATCGGGAGGAGTGGGCCTTGATTGGAAGGGGTACCTTGGCATAATATTGGGGAGTTGATAGGGAGAAACTAGCTGGAGGGGTGGTTCCTGAGGTGGGGGAATATAATATAGGGAAGAGGTCTTGGCATAATATGGGGAGGGTCGCTGGGGGAGGGGTGCGCTGGAGGAGTAGGACTGTTATGTAGGAGTTTTCAGATAACTGTGATCAGGAGGTACCCAAATACCCTGGTGTGGTTTAGAGGCCTACAGAGGATTTGCTATGGTTTGGTGGGGGCCTAGAGGACTCTAATGTTATTTGGGGAATCCTAGACTTCTGGATTGGGGGATCTTGAAACAGATGAACCTTGCTTTGTTGAGATCCCGATATTCAGGGGAGAGTGCAGGAGGAAAGGATCTTGTGTGAGGGCAGCCTGGGGAGGGTTACAAGTGGAAATGGGAAGAAGAGTGAACCCTACTCCCCATGCTGTCTGTGATTTCTGTTTTCTTCTTCCTCCAATTATTGGTGTCGTTCTGTCCTTTTCTGTCCTGGCCCATATTCCTGCCTGACTCCCAACCACTCTCACATGTGCCCCTGTTTGTGCTGCTTACCTCATTTATTTGGTAATCATTTGTTGAGGGACTCTGCTATGCCTTCTTTCCCCTCCCCCTCGCCACTTCTGTCTGTCCCCTCTTCATTCCCACCTGTTGCTCTGCTGCACTTTTCCTCCACCCTTGCCTTGCCTTGCTCTGATGCCCACCTCTTTCCTGCTGGGCATTATCCCACACATTATCCCTTCCATGTCGTTCCCCTGCCTCCCACCTGCTCTCAGGTCTCAGCGGCGGTGGCAGCCGAGGTGCAGGATGCGAGAAGGCGCCCCCCGGCCGGGCTCCCGCTCCAGGCCTCGCTCCCCTGCGGCCCTCTGAGCCCACCATGGCCGTCCCACCGGGCCATGGTCCCTTCTCTGGCTTCCCAGGGCCCCAGGAACACACACAGGTATGTGGTCAGCTGGCTCCTCGCCTGCCTGGGGTAGAGGGAGGCTGGGAATAGAAGGATCTTGGGGCCAAAGATAGTGTGGTTGTCCAGGTCAGTCTCTCGGGGGCATGAAGAGCCCCATGGAAGTTGAATATAATAGAAACGTTGCTAGTAGAGCCGGGGTTTTGAGGGCCTGGGTTAAAATAGGTAAAATTACTTAGGTTCTCCATGCTTCTGAATTCTATTCTGTAAAATGGAGCCAATAATGATATTTACCTCACAGGGTTGTGAGGATTAAACCAGTTAATGAATACATGTACAATGCTGAGGACAGTGCTTGGCACATAGTGAGCAATAAATGTTCATTAAGAAAAAGACCAGAGTGAAAGATCTGGAGGGGGTACAAGGGGAGGCTGGGTTGCAGGCTTGATCCCCAGTTGAGGGCATGCAGGAGGCAGCCAATCAATGATTCTCTCATCATTGGTGTTTCTCTCCCTCTCCTTTCCTCTCTGAAATCAATAAAAATATTTTTTAAAAATTATTATTATTATTATCCACTACATGCCAGGCCTTGCTCCAGGCACTGAAGATATACAGCAAGAATAAGACATAGCCTCTGCCCTTGGTGACTTTCTCTGCTAGTGGGGTTGTCAGACAGTGACCAAGTAAATAGGCGCGCAGTGGTGAGGAGCCAGCCACCCATTAGTTCTCTCTCTTGAGGTTGGAGGTGAAGGTCTGTCCTCAGTGCCCACCTCTCACCCCGCCCAGCAGGTATTGCCTAACGTGCGGCTCTTGCCGAGGAGGCTTCCTCTGGCCTTCCGGGATGCGACCACGGCCCCATTGCGCAGGCTCTCCGTGGACCTCATCAAGACCTACAAGCACATCAATGAGGTAGGCAGGGGGTGGGGGACCCGGCGGGGCGCTGAGGGGTCCTGGCTGCTGGCACAGGTCACTCACCAGTCCTCATCTCCTGGCTGGCCGGCTGGGCAGGTCTACTATGCAAAGAAGAAGCGGCGGGCCCAGCAGGCTCCTCCTCAGGACTCCAGCACCAAGAAGGAGAAGAAGGTCCTGAACCACGGTTATGACGATGACAACCATGACTACATAGTGCGCAGTGGCGAGCGCTGGCTGGAGCGTTATGAGATTGACTCCCTCATTGGCAAAGGCTCCTTTGGCCAGGTGCGGGATGCCCCCACCCACCCAGATCCGGAGATTGGGGGATATGGGCACTCACTGAGTCTGGTTCAGTGATTTCAAGTTCTATGCTGGGCCATCAACCCAGCCCAGTCACTTGGTTTTCCCTGTGCCTGTTTCATTTTCTTTAAAAACAAAACAAAACAAAAAAAAACCCCTGCAATTAATAGGACTCTCCTTAGGAGGTTGTTGTAGTATTTCATGTCCATTGTTCATACTAGTGCCTGACTGTGGTGAGCACTCAATTTTGATAATGATATTGGTGAACCTCCTTAACTGGAGGGAAAGCAGTGGTACCTGGCGCTGTCTCCTCCCTCAACTCCCATTCCCCTCACTTTGTGCCATACCCTGCCCCTGCAGGTGGTGAAAGCCTATGATCATCAGACCCAGGAGCTGGTGGCCATCAAGATCATCAAGAACAAAAAGGCCTTCCTGAACCAGGCCCAGATTGAGCTGCGGCTGCTGGAGCTGATGAACCAGCACGACACTGAGATGAAGTACTACATAGGTGAGCCCTGAGGCAGCACGAGCTGCTCAGGGACAGGTCACCCCTGCTGTAGGATGGGGCTGGCGTCTCAGGACAGGGTTTGGTCTGTAATTCCATGATATCGGTGACTTTTCTGCCACTTTTTATGACTTTTGTCCTATTCACAAGGTAATGCTGGTCAGAGTTTCTTAGGCGCTTAGGGTCATGCTCTGTTGTAAGCACTTTACATAAATAAGCTCTTGTCTGCCTCACCACAGTGCCATGGAAGGGGCATCATTGCCCACAGCCCAGAGATGAAAAAACAAGGCATTCAGGTGCTATTATTGCAGAAGGTCACAGAGTGTGTATTCAGTAGAGCTGTAATTTGACCAGGCAGTAGACTCCAGAGCCTTTACTTATAACATCTATGCCAGCCTTTTCCCTCTTGTTTATACTGGTTCCTCTTAGAAAAAGCAAGGGACTTAAAGGATTTCTTTAAATATAAATTCTCACAGTAAATGGAAAATGAGTAACCTCTGTCACACACACAAAGAAGAACTGAGACTAAAACAATGTTATAAAATTAAATGAGGCAGTATAGACTCGTATTAAAGACACCATTGGTGAGCTGCTTGGCTGGAGGAAAACAGTGGTGCCTGGCCTGTCTGTCTCTTCATCAGTCCCTGTACAGACCTGTCAGCACCCAATGGAAACTTTCTCTTTGGTTTAATCTGACAGTTTGATAAGAGACTTGGGAAGAATTCACTTTTCTTAAGAAAATCAGTCTTTTTCTTGGTATGGGCCATGTTATGGACCGTATAAAAATACCGGACTAGAGCTGGCACCTGTGGGCACACCACACTTTGGCCAGTGCTCAAGAAGCAGAGACACATATCTGCTCCGGCACTCTCTTCAATTCCTTCGAACCCCAGGCCACCACTGGCCTTCTCTGAGCCTCAGGTTTTTTTCCCCATCCACCTGTTTGGTCCCCTTCCCGGCAGTGCACCTGAAGCGGCACTTCATGTTCCGGAACCACCTGTGCCTGGTGTTCGAACTGCTTTCCTACAACCTGTATGACCTTCTGCGCAACACGCATTTCCGGGGTGTCTCACTGAACCTGACGCGGAAGTTGGCGCAGCAGCTCTGCACGGCGCTTCTCTTCCTGGCCACGCCCGAGCTTAGCATCATTCACTGCGACCTCAAGCCAGAGAACATCCTGCTCTGCAATCCCAAGCGCAGTGCCATCAAGATCGTGGACTTCGGCAGTTCCTGCCAGCTCGGCCAGCGGGTAGGGCCTGGGCCCGCCCTAGGGGTGGGACTAGTGGTGTGGGTATGGGTGTGGCTGGGACCAGGCGGGGCCAGCTGGTGGCCAGAGATGAAGGTAGGCTGGATGGGGTAGTGAAGTGGCTGATGCCTAAGGGATGGTGCTTAGGATAGGTACGAAGGGTGGGGCAGTGTGTGACGTAGGTAAATAAGAGGGCCACAGGATATATATATATATACTGCCCAGTCAGAAAAGGAAGAGTGAAGGCTGGGGGTGGGGCCAGTTTTGAGGCTGCCGATGAGAGTAGGGGAAGTTGGGTTGGCTTTGAGCCTAGTTTGCATTTAGCTAAGTATTGTTTACCCAGTCTTCTTAAAGCTGGGATGGAAGGTGGGGAAGGTGCTTCAGCTATGCAACTTCCTGTAAGCAGTCACTTGAATTCATGATGGTGGTGGCCTGAAAAGGGTCTGGATTGGGATGATAGGAAGTCTGCAGACTGCCAAACTCTAAGAGGGGCCCAGAGTCAGGCCTACAGATGAAGATCAGGATCAGACTAGGCCAGCAGACTTTTGAGGCCGATAAGTAAAGTGGAGATAGTGGCTCTTATAAAGTTGGTGCTGATAACATGCGCCACATCCCCAGTTTGAGGGCAGAAGGCTTGTAGTTTGGGGGATGCCAGTGGGGGTGACAATTGCCCTCTGTCCTCTCTCAGATTTACCAGTACATCCAGAGCCGCTTCTACCGGTCACCCGAGGTGCTCCTGGGCACGCCCTATGACCTGGCCATTGACATGTGGTCCCTGGGCTGCATCCTGGTGGAGATGCACACTGGAGAGCCCCTTTTTAGTGGCTCCAATGAGGTGTGATCCTGAGGAAGGGGTGTGTTGGAGGGGGTGTAGGCCGGGCTGGCCTGATGACCCTGACTGCCCACATGCTCACAGGTGGACCAAATGAATCGGATTGTGGAGGTGTTGGGCATCCCACCAGCCCCCATGCTAGACCAGGCACCCAAGGCTCGAAAGTACTTTGAACGGCTGCCTGGGGGTGGCTGGACCCTACGGAGGACAAAGGAACTCAGGAAGGTGCGGCCCCTGCCCTTTGCCGCTCCTCCTACCCTGGCGGCCCCTCACTCTCTCACACTTGGGGCTTCCTCTCTCCCTGCTTCCTCTCCCTCGTGTCTTTCCCTTCCTTTCTCTCCTCGTCTGTCTTTTCCTTCCTCCCCAATCTACCCTCTCCTACCCACCCCATAATTCTTCTTAGCTTCTCTTTCCACTTTCTCTCTGTTGCCTCTGTTTCCCCGTGTGTGTCTCCCTGCCCCTCCTGCCCACTGACGGCCACTCTCTTGCCCCCCCTCCCACCCCCTCCCTGCCAGGATTACCAGGGCCCTGGGACACGGCGGCTGCAGGAGGTGCTGGGCGTGCAGACGGGCGGGCCCGGGGGCCGGCGGGCGGGGGAGCCGGGCCACAGCCCCGCCGACTACCTCCGCTTCCAGGACCTGGTGCTGCGCATGCTGGAGTATGAGCCCGCCGCCCGCATCAGCCCACTTGGGGCTCTGCAGCATGGCTTCTTTCGCCGCACGGCAGATGAGGCCACCAACACGGGCCCGGCAGGCAGCAGTGCCTCCACCTCGCCCTCCCCCCTCGACACCTGCCCCTCCTCCAGCACCGCCAGCTCCATCTCCAGCTCTGGTGGGTGCCCAGTGCCCAATAGGGTAGGACAGTTGTGGGGGAAGCTCTGGTTTGGCCTGACCTTGGGGACCTTGTCATCGGGCCATCACCTAGAGCTTTGAAACTGCATGATCCTGAACTCCAAAGGTTAGGGCAGGAGAGCTCCAACTGGCTCTGACCTGATTTCTGAAACCGAGTTTGTGCTCAGACCTCTAGTTTGTTCTGACTCCAACACCCCAAACTGAACCCTAATCTATCTCAAACGTGGGCCTGATTTCTTCACATGAACACAGAACCCAAAGCCCAAACCTGTGCCTGGTCATGAATCAGACTCAGCCACCTGAAAACCCAGCCCCCACCTCTCCTCATGTAAGACCTCTTCTCTCCTCCCCTGGCACTTCCAGGAGGCTCCAGTGGCTCCTCCAATGACAACCGGATCTATCGCTACAGCAACCGATATTGTGGGGGCCCTGCGCCCTCCATCACTGACTGTGAGATGAACAGCCCCAAGGTATGGGGCTTTATGGCCTTTGGAGGTGGGTGGTGGGGTATCTGGGACTCTGGAACTTGGGTCTCCATCACCCACTCTTCCTTTGTTCCTTTAGGTCCCACTTTCCCAGCCGATACGCCCCTGGGCAGGCGGTGATGTGCCCCACAAGACACATCAAGCCCCTGCCTCTGCATCATCACTGCCAGGGGCTGGCACCCAGTTACCCCCCAAGCCCCGATGCCTTGGCCGTCCTCCATCACCAACCTCACCACCACCTCCAGAGCTGATGGATGTGAGCCTGGTGGGCGGCCTTCCTGACTGCTCCGCACTCCATCCAGCGCCTGCCCCCCAGCACTCGGCTGCCTCAGCCCTCCGGACTCGGATGACAGGAGGTCGTCCACCCCTCCCACCCCCTGATGACCCTGCCACCCTGGGGCCTCGCTTGGGCCTTCGTGGTGTTCCCCAGAGCACTGCAGCCAGCTCATGACCCTGCCCCTTCCCTGGGGCCCCTCCTGAAGCCATACCCCTCCCCCCATCTGGGGGCCCTGGGCTCCCATCCTCATCTCTCCCCTTGACTGGAATTGCTGCTACCCAGCTGGGGTGGGTGAGGCCTGCACTGATTGGGGCCTGGGGCAGGGGGTCAAGGAGAGGGGTTTAGACATGCCCCCACACTAAGGACTGAACCCTTGGCCCCCTCTCTCCCCTTGTTTTCTATTTATTGTACCAAAGACAGTGGTGGTCCAGTGGTTGAGAGACCCCCTTCACCCCAGGGCCCTAGGAAGGGGTGGGGGCAGGTAGGGGGAGATGGCATTGCTCCTCCTTGCTGTACCCCCCAGTAAAAGAGCTTTCTCACATGCCCGTCTGAGATTTTGCAGGGCCCTGGCTCCTTTCACCCAGCCCTCAGAGGCATGGTGCAGAATGTGTTTGGGGAGGGGGTGCCGGAAGAGCTTTGTCTCGTCGGAAATGCCCATAGGGAAGTTATAGCTATTGGTACAGACATGGAGCTGCAGGAGGTCTGAGTCCTAGACAGGATTGTAGCCCACATTTGCCCTTTCAAGGTAAATTGAGACTCTGAAAGGGTAAAGGCCCACTTCTGGCCTGTTTCTGGGAATCAAGTTTCTGCCCTAGTAAGCCAGGGTTTTCACAGAGTCTGTGTAGGAGTGGTTCCTTTTGCCAGGCAAGCATCCAGTAGGTGCTGAATACGTGTAATAGGACTTATTAGTGCCATCTGGGGATTGACAGGCAGACAATGGGTACAGACTTATTTCCCCCTTCCCCGACGTCTGGTCTTATCCTTTGGAACAATTGTGGAGCAAGATGTTTTGAGATTTTCAGGCCCAAAAAAATATCCCAGGGGTTCAGGTAAGTGAACCTGTTTCCTTGGCATTTTGGAAACTTTCGTCTCCCAAATGGCCAATCAAGAACCTTCTGTTGCAAAGGGTATCATCTTCCGCCACAGGGATGCGGGCACCTCCTGGGAAATGGAGCTCTACTTAGTATCAGCATCGGTTCCGCATTTCGTCGGGGAACTACAAAGACCAGAGTTCTTTTCGCTCACGTGTTTAGGGGCGGGGCGTCAGGCGGCCAATCAGCAGTTAGACAAACAGCCGGATGCTTGTCGCCAGCTCTAAAGGAAGAAGGAAAGGGCCGTAATTGGGTGTTTTTGGCCGCGCTCCGCGCAGGTGTTGGTTTCTGTTGAGGCGTGCGGCAGGTGCCAGAAGGCTTACTGTGGAGAGCGTGAAGGTAAGACGTTCGTAGTTGGAGCAGGAGGTAGGCGCAGAGGCCTGAAGCGGCCCCAGCACGTGGGACGTAACCCAGGACGCGGGAAAGACCCCGTAGTAGGAGTGGGCAAGGGCTCTATTACTTACCTGCGTGTGTTCGCTAATGGTGCCACTTTGAACGCGAGGGAATCCAGACAAAGCACGGGTAGGGAAACTTCTGGAGTGGAGAAGCTGCCTGAGCTGAGACCTAAAGATGGGGGCGGGGGCGGGGGGCGCGGGTACTTGCGGGGCGGTGGAATGGCTTGCACAAAGGCAGCAATGAGGAACGGCCTGGTTTTGGAGATCTTATTGAAAGTTCTGTATGAATTAGGTCGTGGAAGATTTTGTTGGCTATTTGGGGATTTCCTGAAGGCAATGAGCCATGGGAGGATGTCTAGAAGGGAAGGCCCTGTTTGCTGTCATCTGGAAAGAGACTTGGGTCTGGGAGCCCAGGATGGTGTCTGTAGCAGGACCCTGGGCAGGATCATCTGGGATGAACCAAGGAAAGGATCTTGGTAAGGAGCGGAGGAAGAGTGTGGGGTGATGGCTGGATGTGTGGTTTACAGATTGTGGAGAGGGGCGGGAAAGGAATAGCTCTAGCACGTAGGACAAGTGGCTGTATATTGTAGATGCTTACTTAATTTTTAAAAAAATGAATAGCCCTAGGAAGCCAAAACTAGTATGATCTCCCTTTTGCTAATGAGGTTGCTGAAGGCAAGGAAAGTTAAGTAACTTGTCCAAGATCACATAGTTGGGAAGCAGAGGGCTCAGGATTTGTGTGTATGTCACCCATTGACTTAGCCAGGTGCAAGGTGAGCCTCTAGTCACTAGCAGGAGCCAAATCATGTGGATTCTGTAAGGAATTTGGGGTGGATAAGCATGGAAACATATCTCACATTTCTATTTCCAGCTCAGAACCTCTCCTGCGACTGCTGACTGACTGCCTACATGATATCATCTCTTGGATATCTAGAGATATCTTGAGAGTAATTTTGGCCAAATTGAACTCCTGTTTTTCCCCAAAAAAATCTGTTCTTCCAAGGTTGTTCTCAGTAAATGTCACCTCCATCCTTGTAGTTGCTCAAACTCAAAGCTTTGGAGTTGTTCTTGAGTCCCCTCTTTGTTTTATATCCATGTCTGGTCCATCAACAAATTCTTTCAAAGTTTATTCAGAACCTGTTCATTTCTTTTTCTCGTCTTTTTTTTTTTTTTTTATAAATTTTTTACCGAGAGGAAGGGAGAGAGATAGAGAGTTAGAAACATCGATGAGAGAAACATCGATCAGGTGCCCACAACCAAGGTACAATCCCTTGACCGGAATCGAACCCAGGACCTTTCAGTCCGCAGGCCGACGCTCTATCCACTGAGCCAAACCTGTTTTGGCAAGAACCTGTTCATTTCTTCCCACCTCCATTGTTGTCACCCTAGATCTGTCCACTCTCATCATCTACCTACATCAGTGGTCGGCAAACTGGGGTTCGTTAGCCACATGCGGCTCTTTGGCCCCTTGAGTGTGGCTCTCCCACAAAATACCATGTGCGGGCGCACACGTACAGTGTGATTGAAACTTCATGGCCCATGCACAGAAGTCAGTTTTCGGCTCTCAAAAGAAATTGTAATCGTTGTACCGTTGATATTTGGTTCTGTTGACTAGTGAGTTTGCCGACCATGGGCTAGATCATCATGGCATCCTTCTCAATGGTCTCCCTGCTCCCCACAGTCTGTTCCTCACATGCACCCAGAGTGACACTGTGAACAGCGGGGTCAGGTCCCGTTCCTCTCCTGCTCAGTACCCTCCCGTACCTCCATCTCACAGAAAGTAAATGCCAAAGTTTTCTCCTGACCTGCAAAGTCCTGCATGACTCGTCCATCTGCTCTGACATGGTTTATTCATCCCTGCTTGCTCACTCTGCTATAGCCAACTGGCCTCAGAGCCTTTGTACTTGCTGTTTTGTTTGTTTGTTTATCTTTATTGTTGAGAGTATTATAGGTGTTACCCTTTCTTCCCATTGACCCTCTCCTTCCCAGGCCATCACTGCACTATTGTCTGTGTCCATGGGTTATGCCTATCCATAATAATAAAAGCATAATATGCTAATTAGACTGGATGTTCTTCCGGATGACCTCCCGGAGAAAGCCGGGACTGTGAGGGAAGTTTGGGTCCTGGGTGACAGAGGGAAGCCGGTGCCAGCAGTCAGGGGAAGGAAGGCCTACTCTGGCACGAATTTTGTGCATCGGGCACCTAGTTCATTCTTTTCCCATCATACCCTCCCCTCTTCCCTCTGAGAATCGTTAGTCTGTTGCAAGCTTCCATGTCTCTGGATCTGTTTTGTTTGTCAATTTTATTTGTTCAAAAGATTCTGCAGACAAGTGAGTTCCTGGCTTATTTTGCTTAGCATAATACTCTCCAGGTCCCTCCATGTTGTCTCAAATGGTGTGAGGTCCTTCTTTTTAACATCTGCATAGTATCCCATGGTTTAAATGTACCACCTGTTCTCTTTACCTGGGACATTTCCCCAGGTAGTGAAGGCTCACCTTCACCTCCTTTAGGTCTTTACTCAGATGTCACCTTCTCCTTGAGATCTTGTCCACCCTTCTAGAATTGTACCACTAACATTTGTATATTAACTTTCCTTAGCATTAATAATATCATTCTTTAACTCATATAATTTCTTACTAGAGGCTTAGTGCATGAAATTCATGCTCTTGGGGGAGGTGGCTTAGCCAGGTCTGCGTCTTTTTTGCAGTCCGGGAGCTGTCAGTTGGACATCCTTAGCACTGCTACAAAGGCAGGAGAGGCTCCCACCACCACCGCTGTGCTTGCCAGCCATGGCTCAGGGATTCTGGCCGAGCAGAACTCCCCCTGTGGGACTGCACTGACTACCAGGGGGCAGCTCCTGAGTTGAGCATGAGCATCTGCCCCCTAGTGATCAGTGCACATCATAGCAAGCAGTTGAGTGGCATTACATACTACTCTGATTGGTTGAACAGCCGACTGGATAACCGGACACTTAGCATATTAGGCTTTTATTATATAGGATTGTCTGTTCCCCCTCTCCTTTCCCCTATCCCCACTTCATGAGGGCAGGAGCTTTGATCTTATTTCATGCTTTATCTTCCAACACTTAGAAGAGCCCTTGACATATAGTAGGGATTTAATAATTCTTTATTGAATGAACTAGGGGCTCAGTGCATGAATTCATGCACGGGTGGGGTTCGGCCAGCCCGCCCTGATGGGGAGCCATTGGGGGTGGGGCCAACCAGAGGGAGGGGCCATGAGTGGTTGGTTGGCAGGCCCCATCCCCAATTAGGGAGTTCGTGGCTGATCAGGGTGGGGCTGGCCAGGGGTAGAGGCTGCACGAGGGTTCCAGGGTGTGTCCAGCACTTCTCACTCAGTCCTCGTTGGCCAGACCGCAGCAACAAGCTAACCTACTGATCGGAGTATCTGCCCTCTGATGGTCAGTGCATGTCATAGTGAGCGGTTGAGCATCTTTACCATATCATTAGCATATTATGCTTTGTTTGAACGGACAACTGGACATTTAGCATATTAGGCTTTTATTATATAGGATGGATGTGTGGATGATTTCAGAGCTCAGATCCTGATCCCAGCATCCTAGAGACTGTCAATTCAATTTCCACAGAACTTTAAGGAGCTGCCTTAAAATTTTTTTGAGGTCTCAGACATTCAACAAATGTTTTCATCTTACCTTAGCTTTGTGGGAAGACTGCAGAGAACAAAATAGTTTCCCTGCCTCCAAAGAGCTCACGGTCTTGGCTGGGGGGGTTCAACTCATCAACTAATCACACAATATGAAATACAGAGAAAGGTAGAAAGTGCTATAAGAGCACTTGACAGGAAATCTAATCTGGACCCTAGAAGTGAGGTTTGAGGTGATCTGAAGGAGTAGGCATTAACTCCATTAAATCTGGTGTGTGTGTGTGTGTGTATGTGTGTGTGTGTAACATGGTTAGAACCTAAAAGCTGACAGGGAGCAAGCGATCAGGCCACATAGATCCTGTAAGGAGTGTGTGTCCTTACCCCATGTATAGTGGGAAGCTGTAAAATAATTTTATTCTTAAAAAATTTTAACTGATTTTTGGAGAGAGAAGAAGGGAGAGGAGGGAGTGTAAGAGAAACTTCCATGTAAGAGTGAGACATTGATCAGCTGCCTCCTGCATGCCCCCTATCGGGGATCAAACCTTAAACTGTGGCATGTGCCCTGACCCAGAATCAAATGGCAGCCTTCGGTACATAGGATAATGCCCAACCAACTGAGCCACACTGACCAAGGCAAGAAGTTTAAATAGTGGAAACAGGCATGGTCAGTTATATATGTTAATAGGTCCCTTAGACTGTTGTGGGGGGAATTGACAATAGGGGATTATGGATTGAAGTAGAGGCCAATGATGAGGCTGTTACTGTGAGATTAACGAAGGCCACCCATTCTTTGCTGTTATTTTCCATTAGAAGGTGAAGTCTCCTTCTTTAATCTGGTCTGACCTTGCCTCGCTTTACCAATAGAATGTAGTGAAAGTGATGCAGTTGAGGAGGCCTGTGCCTTGAAGAGGCCTGGCAGCTTGTGCTTTTGCTATCTTGGAGCCCTGGGCTTCTGTATAAAGAAATCCAGCTATGCTGCTGGAGAGAAATGTGGAAAGAGGCCCAGCCAGCCCCTAGCTGTTCCTCTGTTTCAGCTGATGTGCTAGACATGAGTGATGCCATCTAGCCCAGCTCCCAGCTGACAACATATGGAGTAGGGATGAGCCATCCTGACTTGAATTTGATTCTCAGTGAGATAAGAAATCAGAGCATTATGAGTTGAAGAATGATGTGATACTAATAGGATTCCTCTGGCTGCCATGTGGACACAAGGATAGAAGTGGACTCCAGTGAGGAGGCTACGGCACTAATCCAGCCAGAGAGAGTGGTGGCTTAGCTTGAGGAGGAGTAGTGGAGGTGGGAGGTGTGGTCGGATTTTGGATATACAATAGTTTGAAGGATGAGTAGGCAGAATTTGGGGATAGGTGTGGGGTGAAAAAGAGGAATCAACAACCAAGGACTTTAGCCTTAGCAGAGGAAGGAGGGAATGCCAGTAACTATATGAGGAAGACCAAGAGAGGCTGTGGATGTGGATCTAGTAAGCATCCCAGTGGACTTGCTGAGCAAGCAGTGGAATCTAGGAATCTGGCATGCAGGGGTGAAATCTGGACTGGAGGTGTAATTTGGGTAGTCATTGGCATTTTTGTGGTATGAAGGCCCAGATGAGGTCGCTAAGGTAGGAGCATCTGCATCTGCTGCTTCCTCTGTTTGCAGGAGCTGGGCTGGCCCTGGGTCACTCTTGCCCTGACTCCATGTGACATTCCAGTGCAGTGCCCACAGCTCCTCTGTCCCCATTCCAAATGACAAGAATCAGATCGCTGGGGTTGGCTGTCAAGCTCTGCTCAACCTGCTTTAGCTGGGGGTGAGGGGTTTCTGCAAGGGTGTCTGTCTGCTGGGAAGGGCTGCGGACTGGCCACTTCAACTAGTCACAAAGTGTTTCTGACAGTCGGTGTATTGGAGGCAGGAGTGTGTGTGGATGTTTGGTAATTGGGTGGGTGAGACATTATTTATGGAGCCTCAGGTGGGTGAATGGGGTAGGAGAGAGGAGGAAGTTGGGCTCTGGCAGGCTCTGAGCCCAGAGGGGTTCGGATTACGTTGGGAGAAGTCATGAGGACCCAACACAGCTTCTGCCTGCCATTGTGGTCAGGAAGACAGACACTCTTCACTCCTCACTGGAGAGAGATACAGCAATGACTGAGACAGCCTCCACCCTGCCCTCTGAGAGCACCCATCAAGTGGGGGAGACCCTCTGACCAGATGGGGGTCAGGGAGGGCCAGGATGGCAGGAGTTCCAGGGTGCTGTTGGAGCCCAGAGGAAGTACGTGATCTAGTCTAAGGTATTAGGAGATCTCGTGTCTCCTTTGTCTCATCCAGTCTGTGACAGTTTCTCAGGTGGAGAGAGAACACATGAGGTAAGATTTGAAGAGTCAGATGAAGGGAGTTTTTGGTCTCTACAGGTGATGACTTTTAGCCAAGACAGTAAATATTTAAATAACTTTTTTATATTAAATAATTTTAAATTTACTGAAAAGTTGCAAAGAAAATACAAAAGATTTCCCATATACACTGCAATACCCTGCACCCAACTTCCCCTAAAGTTAAGATCTTATATATTTATGGTACATTTTTCAAAAGTAGGAAATTTATGTTGATTAGTATTCTAACTAAACTTCAGACTTTATTCATATCTTACCTGTTTTCCACTAATGTTCTGTTTCTGTCCCAGGATCCAATCTAGGATACCATGTTGCATTTATTCACCATGTCTCCTTTGTCTCATCCAGACTGTGACAGTTTCTCAATCTTTCCTCGGTTTTCATAACCTTGACAGTTTTGAGGTATACCACTCCTCAGTCTGGATTTCTATAATATTTATCTCATGGTTAGAGTGGGATTATAGGTTTGGGGAAGAATGCCACTCAGCTGATATTTATCTGGATCACTCCTTTAAGGCGGGGTGTATCAGGTTTCTTAAGTATAATGTTACTGGTTTTCCCTTTTCTTACTCTGTTCAAAGCAAGTAACGAAATCCAGCCCACACTCAAAAGGAGACTATTTGTCATAGTTAATAAGTATGGGAAGATATTTTGAGACTGTGCGGATGTCCTGATTCTCCTCAAAGTTCCACCCACGGTTTTTAGCATTCATCATGGATCTTGCTTGAGACACAATAATTACTGTGGTATTCTAGTGTTCATTTTCTATTTCCCTCATTTCTTCTACATTTACTATTTAGAATTCTTCTGTATGAAGGTTTGTCTCTTTTACCCCATTTATTTTATTTGTATAATCACTCATTTTTATAAGTATGAACTCATGGATATTTATTTTATTCTTTGTATATAATCCTGTACTATCATAATTAATTTTTTTCACTACAGTTATTTCCGTTTTGGCCATAGGGGCTTTTCAGGTTGGTTCCTGTGTTCTTTCTCTTTTCTTGAGTACCTACTTCCTTACTCTCTGGCATTATAAGATGATTCAGGCTTATCTTGCATTTTCCCTTCCCCAGCCCTGGAATCAGCCATTTCTCCAAGAGCCCAGGTTCCTTTTATTGGAGAAAGATATTAGAAACCTAGGTTTGAGCACTGAGTACGGTCATTGCTACTGGGGTGTCACTGTATCTAGTCCCTCTTGGCTGACAGAGCTAGGAAATATACGTATGTGTACAAATCCAGGTATGCTCACACATCTGTATTTCTGTGTGTGTATGTATAGATAGATATAGGTGTGTGTGTGTGTTTATTAATTTAATTTTTTGTTAATCTTCACCTGAGGACAATTTTCTATTGATTTTTAGAGAGATTGGAAGGGAGGGGGAGAGATAGAGAAATATTAATGTGAGAGAGACACATCGATTGGTTGCCTCCTGCATGTGCTCCAAACGGGATCAAGCCTGCAACCAAAGTACATGCCCTTGACCGGAAATGAACTCTGAACCCTTCAGTCCACTGAGCCAAACTAACTGGGGCAATACTGATATTTCTGACTCTAATCCAACCCTAAAAGGTTCATTCGCACCTTCCCTCCTTGCTTTCTTTGTAACGTCTTTCTCTGACAGTAAGAAACTTGGGCCGAAACCGGTTTGGACTGTGGACTGAAAGGTCCCGGGTTTGATTCCAGTCAAGGGCATGTACCTTGGTTGCGGGCACATCCCTAGTAGGGGGTGTGCAAGAGGCAGCTGGTCGATGATTCTCTCTCATCGATGTTTCTAACTCTCCCTCTCTCTTCCTCTCTGTAAAAAATCAATAAAATATATTTTTAAAAAAGAAAGAAAAGAAACTTGGCTCGGTGGGCACTTTTCTAGGCTCACTTATTGACCATCTTGGCAAAAACTGGCAGTGTTAGCATTCCCTTCTACAAAACACTCTCCCTTTGGTTTCTCTGACACTGCTTCCCGCTGATTTTCTTCCTATGCCTTGCTTCTTTACAAGAAGTTCCTGTTTTCACTGATCCCTGAAATGTGGGAAGAGCTCTTCTCAACTCCCATCTTAATCTCTCTTATGGTTGGTTTGCTGTCTCTGATGCCCACTCTGCCCTAAACCCCTGCATCTTCCCTGGGCCCCAGATGTGAGTGGCTTCATAAGGGCACCACCATTCCCTTTCTCCTTCTGCCTGGTTGATCTCTGGGTCCTTAACACGCACTATATCCCAAATTGCAAACCCACTTCTCTCAGTCTCTATCTCAGGGTTTACCCCAGGCTCTCAGAGAGCATTGGGCTTCATCTTTGATGCCTCCTTCCCCATGCCCCCCTCCCCCACCAGCCCGTCAGCCTCCACAGAGTGTCCACAAGGACTCCTGGATGGCTCCCATCTGCCCCTTCCTGCTGTCATGGTCCCACCTTGGCCACATCCTGTCTCTCCCACCTTGTCTCTGCCTGCCCTCCTCCTTGGCCCCTGGCTCCCCATCTCTCCCTGTAACCCACCCCCACTCGGCGGTGAGAGGGATATTTGTGAAACACAAATCTAATCATGCCCTCCTGCTTCAATGTGTTCCATGTTTCTCCAGTGTCCTTAGGATAAGGTCCTTCCTCCTGGTACTGAAGCTTGGTGTGATCTGGCCCCGACCATCACCATCTCAGCCTGTCTCCCCTATGGCCTAAGCTTAGACGCACTGAACTTCTTTGTTTTCTTTTTCTTTTTCTTTTTTTTAAATATATTTTATTGATTTTGTACAGAGAGGAAGGGAGAGAGATATAGAGCTAGAAACATCGATGAGAGAGAGTCATCGATCAGCTGCCTCTTGCACACCCCCTACTGGGGATATATGCCCGCAACCAAGGCACAAGCCCTTGACCGGAATCGAACCCTGGTCCCTTCAGTACCCAAGCCGACGTTCTATCCATTGAGCCAAACTGGTTTCGGCTGAACTTCTTTGTTTTCTTCAACATGACCAATGTGCTCACCGAGGTCTCTGCATAGGTCTTCACCAGCCCCAACAGCCTTCAGCTCAGCCAGCCCTGCCCACCCCCTTTCTTCCCACTCATGTTACTTTGAAACAGTCCCAGACATCACCGTCTGAAAGGATGATGAATACAGTGTAACCAGTGGTTGTTACTGAGTGTTGGAAGTTGGTGTGTGGGGTAGCTTTACTTTAAAACAATGTTTGCAATAAACATGTTTTTATGTATTGCTGACAGTATCACAGATATTCCCCTCAATGAACATGTTTTCATTGAATACCAATATAACAACAATAGCTGTTGTGGGAGAAAATTTAAATAAGAAAAAAAATGTCATGTGTTTGCGTTTAAGAGAAAAAGCCTTTTAGGAATCATTTTACTTAAAAATTCTACGGAGGCAAGAAGAGCATAGAGGTCTGTTGTCGGTATGCGCTGTAACAGTGCTAGAAGCTGAGTGCTGGGATGTGCTGTGAAGGAGCGCTCGCAAGCTTCCTTTTGAGTCACATCCACTGCTGGGATTTTCTCCCATGAATTTTCATAATTATCACTAAATGTGACTTGTGTAATTTGTCTAAATAGTATCTTACAAGCATTGGGAACAACTGAATTATATAAAAGGGTTTTGTATATGTAGAGGAGTCTTTGGTTTTGGGAGAATCTTTGTCTTCTGCTATGATGTCAGTGACTATTGGGACAGTGAATTTAGGGTAAGGCAACTGTGAATGCACCCGCTTTGAGACATTTTGTGGTTTTAAATCTGGCTAGCATGTGCTTTAATGATGACTGCCAATCTCTACCTGGCCTTTTTCATGCCTGGCCTGTTCCAAGTCCTTTCTATGGATTAATCTCAGTAATCCTCAGACAGGCTTTAGGAGGCAGCTACTGTTCTCTTCCCAGAGTTTCGTGAGAGGCATTTAGAGCTGAAATCAAACGCTTCAGGTTCCATAGCTAGTAAGTGGCAGTCCTAGGACTAGAGCCCAAGAGTCTTGGTTGGTTCCATTGTCTGTGCCTTTAACCGCCTTCCTCCTGGATGCCATTCTTAAAGGAGATGCTCACATTCTGATATTGCAGTCTCTTCTTTGGGGAAGAAGAGCTTACTTCTCCGGCTGCTAAAAATCTCTTTTCAACATCCCCAATTATTTGTAAAGAAAAACACTTTTTAATTATTTTTTTAGGGAAAATTTCAAAAGCAGAATTCTAATGAAGGCCTATGTCCCCATCACCCAACTTTGACAATTACCAGCATATGGCAATTCTTGTTCCATTTATATCCTGCATGCTTTTTATCCTCTGCTCAACTATTTTAATACAAGTCCACGTGTTTTATTAAAAGACATTTTCTTTAGAGAAAAGGAAACCTACAATTCCTTGCCCCAAGTCCTCCCCCTGCTGGCAAATTGACTGCTGTCCCTTCTTCATTTTCCAAATGCAGAGAGAGCTGTATGATACTATCACCTGGCTCCGTCCCTGGCTTGTTTCCGGGAACCCTATCCTTCAGGCGTTGATCCCTGTTGCTCTGAAGCCTAAAAATGATCCTTCTCAGTGACCATGGACAGGCTGGTGTTGCTTGGCAGGCTCCTCCCTTGCAGTGGGACATTTAATCTGCTCATGGCCATTTGCCCTAATCATGCTCTCTCTATGTATTTGGGTTATTTTCAGGATGCCCCCTCCTCGCAAAACTAGGTCAGACCTGTAATACTCCTCACACACTTTACATTATGTTTGTGATGATCAGAATGAAATAAGGATTAAATACTTATCTATATAAATTGCCTGAGCGCTCCATGAGGGTAGGTAGCAGGTCTGTCTTCATCCCTCCTGTGTCCCCAGCATCACCCAGTGCAGGGCCTGGCACTCACTAGGTGCTCAGTAGCAGTGATGAATGAATGAGTGATTGCCAAGGTCAATAGCTGAGTTTTTGTCATGAGGGAAATAGGAAGCCACAGAATGTTTTAGGCAGAACTGGACCCATTTCCCCCCCAAACTAATGTGCAAACAAATCCCCTGGGATCTTGCAAAACTGCAGATTGTGAGTCAGTGGGTCTGGGGAGCAGCCTGAGATTCTGCATTTCTCATAAGCTCCCAAGTCATGCCAGTTTTTGGAGCAGCGAGGGTCCTGCTGTGCTGGTCAGTATCCAGCAGCCAGTCACACGTGACTGTTGAGCACTTGAAATGTGGCTAGTGTGAATTGAGATGTACTTCAAGTGTGACATACCCATTGGATTTCAAAGACTACTACAAAAAAAGAATGTAAAATATCTCAATTTTTATATTGATCACATGTTAATATGGTAATATTTTGGATATATCGAATTAAATAAAACATTATTAAAATTAATGTGTGTGTTTTTTTTCATGTGCCTACCTACTAGAAAATTCAAAATTACATGGTGGCTCTCCTATTTCTTTTGTCTAGTGCCGGTCTAGAATACTCCAGACTCCTTTTTACCTCCAAGCATTTGTACATACTTTTCCCTCTTTTTGGACTAACCCCCTTTCTCACAACTTCCTTCTCAAATAATTTCACACCGCTTCCAGGTCTCAACTAAGATGTCTTGTTCTCCAGGAAGGCCTCCCTGATCCCCCAGGGTGTGTCAGTGTTTGTTCTGGGCTTCCAACGGTCTCTGGGTTTTCCTCTTCTCAGCCCTGACCATCTGTGGTGTCAGCATTGGTATGTCTGTCTCACTCTTTAGATGGATAAATCCTTGAGGATGGGACAAAGTCTGTTTTGGTCACTAGAACTTGGCACAGAGTTAGTGTTTACTAACTGAACTAAGAAATGATGAGGAAGATGTGGGTCCTGCACATTTTACAGCTCTTGACATGGACTGTGAAGCCAGCCTCGCCTCGAGGCTAGTTTTGATGAGCCTGACACCATGGTAGCATTTGGAACTGCTTTCACTGTTTTACTGGGTGTGCCGCAGGCATGTTGTGGATCTTGCCAGTCTCTGAGGCAGTTATTCTTCTGCCTCTGTCCCTGAGCTACCCTCTCTTGGGATTTGTCTTCTGCCAATGGCACATTTCTGAAGGTTTTTTGTGGGGGTTTTCTGGAAGGTTTTTTGTGGTTTTTATATCATCTGTTGTTAGTCCAACACAGATTTTTATATTATTCCCATTCTGAGATTTCCCTTTTTCAGAAGACTCCATATAGGATGATACCCTTTATAAAGCTCAAAACCAAGCACAAGCAAACATTGTTTAGGCATGCAAACATATGTGATAAAATTATACCTTAGAATAGCAACGGGTAAGGGAACCTTTTGGCATTTATTGATTGTACACTTCAAATGGGTATATTTCATTGCATGTAATTTTAAGCTGAATTAGAAAGAGAGAGTTGGGCCAGAACAAACTTGCTCTGCCTCTGGTTATGCTGTTAAGGAGATAACACTGGGGGCAGAGCCACCACTTGGTGACTCAGCTGTCATGCTGAGGATGGCAGGGTGGAAAAGGAAAAGAATCTAAATTCTTGATGTCACTGAGCCACCTACAGGGCTTTGCTTTCTTTGCTATTTCTCCAGATCCCATAACTGTGCCTTACAATTAGTTGGCATTCAATAAGTATATGTATTTTTAAGAAAACTTATTGAATACTAGAGGCCTAGTGTACAAAATTCGTGCATGGATAGGTCCCTAGGCCTAGTGGGCTATCAGGTCTGATCAGGGCCTTTGG